CGCCGTAACATCGAGGATCTTAGGACATTAATATCCATATTGAATTTGGTTTTTTAAATACTTAGGCTCAAGACATAAAAATAAAGATTTAGAGTTCTTTTTGAATTACGAGAAAAAGTTCTAATTTTGTAACAGAAGACGCCGAAAGTTAGATATTCAGACATTTCTAAGCTCTTATATTATGAATGCGAAACAATTATACAAAATTATTAGAACAGGTTCAAAAGTTTGCACCTTGTCATTCTAAAAAGAGTTCTCAACAAAAAATTGAAAAAGATCAAGTTCTGAAGCACACTGAATTGTATTGCGACCTTAGTCAGTTACTACAATGCTTGAGAATAAGGATCCGAGGTTTTTATTGAAATAGGTAAAAAAACTTCCAATTTTGTAGATGAAAACTCCTGGTATAAAATTACCAGAGCAATAACCTTCACAGAACACTAAAAAGGAAAAAAAAAACCTGGATAAACTTTCTGGAAATGTCAATGTTTGGAGGACGTTGAATTTGGTTTGACCGGCCTCAAGAATTTTAAAAATTTTACAATTAAGCTTCAAAGTTTCATCAATAGAGTTGAAAGGGTCTGAGCCTAAGAAAGTTATAAAATCATTGGCCTTATCAAAATCTAAATAATTTCCAGAAAAAGTCTGAGTAAAGTCTTTTTACCTATAGAAGAAAGAAACTGAAAATCAGGCTCGAAGCATTAAATGAAAAGGTCCAAGTTTGAAATAAAAAAAGGTGCAAAACTATCAGAGTATTTAAATTTGTTAGAGATCTAAGGAAGGATTCTAGATGGTCATGGCATGTTAGGTGATGACTAGAAATTTCTTTGAAATCATTGCTATGCAATCAATTTTTGACTTTGTTATTTTTGAGTGTTTTTTTTTCTCCATTTTCAATCCAGGTTTGAGCTTTCTAACGGACTACATCTATATCAAAGCGCAGATAACAAACACGTCACAGAAGTTAATAAAATTTGATATTCATAGCTTCATTACAAATCCAAATCCTACCTAATAATGTTAATAACAATAAATAACTGACCTTGTTGGAAGTTATCCTGATTTCCTTTCCATTTTGAAATGTTATCAATCTCTGCTTGACGTTGTACTAAAGCGAGAGAAAAAACTGTGAATACGTGCATACCCATCTACAGAAAAATAATTTTTATTGTTATTGATTAAGAACACTGCTGAGAACGAAACACTACTTGCTCCACTTTTTGTTCAAGTAATTTTGTAAACATTCGCCAAATCAGGTATGAGTGATAAACTCCTACCAGGCTTACGAGTTTAGGTAAACTAATTTGTTGAAACACTAATATTTACCAACCTGTTTAATGCAATCCTTTTTCTTTCCTCCAGAGGATTTCTTTAGAATCACATTTTGCTTCATCCTTTGCCAGACGCTGAAAGACAGAAAACGATACAATGAGAACAAAGACTCTGGCTACCAAAAAGACAGTTCCGCGTCAAAATGTTTGACCCTTTTTTCTTTTGGCGGAGGTTAAGCATAAGGGAAAACGCGTTTAAAGCAAAGCTAATTTTAAAACATAAGAAGCATAATTGACTATGTAAAGTATGAAACAAGTAAAAATTTAAATTAAAAAAAATTTTTAAAAAAACCTAACTAAAACACTGATCAATAATTGTAATAAAATACGACGTTCTTGTTGTTGCCCTATAGGTCACGTGGAACTGTCATGGCGGTTGCCATTTAGGTTTTGTCCAACATCGTAATGTGAGTAACTGGCTCTTCCTTTTCAATTAGAACCCCGAAATTTGATTTATACTTTCGCCAAGAAACACAAAGACTGTACTTTTATCATCAAATATGTATCTAAACGTAGGTTATTTACCTTGAGAAAGACGTTCATCAAATCCTCATGGCGGCCAACTTGATCCACTCAATTCAGCAAACTCAAAGAAACATACGCTGGTCTTTACAGAACTGCTGTTATGAAGCACTAGTTTAAAACTGCTTTGTTTCCCGGCCCCTGAGTAGCACCAAAAAGACGATGAATCTTCTTGTCGTTCGTAAGGTCTTTCTTGTTTGTGAGCTCTTTCCACGTGCAAGACTGATATAAAATATGAATATTAATTTAGAAATCATTTAAAATTCAAATGAATTTCCCGCCTTTGATAAGCAGACCGACAAAGTATCGAACGAAAAACTCTTCGGTCACTTTTGTTCAAAGGTTAAATTAAATAATAGCGCTATCCCTAAGCTAACTTCAGCCTTGGTTCAGTTAAATGGAAGTTTCAGCTATACTTGCAGAGCGTCAGAGCATTTTTAAATTACTGTCTTTTCAATGCCCTTGAACTGTTTTTCGCTTTGATCTAGTTCCGTTCTGCTGGAGGTCAATCTGTACCCGTGTAACGTATCAAAAAAAGGAATGGCAGCATTTCACCCTTCCTAGCCGTATAAAGGCAATTATACCTCTGTTTTTAAAAAAGGTTGTCGGAAAAAAAGTGCACACGGCAGTCTCAAAAGGTAGTCTGGGTATCCGGTAATCAATGATTTCAATAAGTCAAACGTGGTTATTTATCAAACCCTCGATGCCTCGTCCGCACAGTGACATTTTATCATATTTCTCTAAAATCCTGAGGTCAAGGAACCGCGACCTGAAAACTATCCACAATGCCTTTCGGGGTTATAATATTGATGATAATTAATCGTCGGGCCTCTTAAGTTGTTTAAACAGACTCTCGAGTTTTAGTCTTCTGTTCTGCATATTTGAGGAGGAAGTGGCAAACGCAAAGCGAACTCGGAGAGTAAGGCACGCCCAAAAGGAAGAAATTGTCTTACTCGCTTCTTAGTTCCTGTCAATGGGCATCTCAAAGAGGTAATGGCTTTTACGACTAGCGGTTGACAGTAATGTTGAATGCAAAGTAATTTCAATCATTTTCAAAAGTTAATGATTAAGTTTCATTGTTCTTAAACGCATTCACTTACTCGCTTTTGCCACAAGAGTCAAGCAGCAAGATCATAGTGATTCCAGATCGTTCATAACACGTTTGTGTCTACAATCAAGGTCACTCTGAGCTTTACATACATAACTTTGTTTCATAAATTTTGCAGAAAGGTGAATCTTGATCTACTGATTGCAAAAAAAAGACAACAAATTGGGGTCACTGATCTCATTTCCACTAATAGTCACATTTAAGTAACATTAGGGGTGTTTTAAGGGACTGTTGTGTTACTATGGTAACCTCATATGTAAGAAAAGTGAGCTTATTATACAAGGAAATGAATGGAAAAACGAGAAACCTTCATGTTGAAGCTCAGTCGCCGGAACGATAAGGAAATCAGTCAGTGCAAGACCAAATAATAAACTGTTTGAAGAATTACCCAGATGGTCAAAAGTGCATTTCAAACAATCTTGCTAACTGGAGTCAATTAATTTCATAACCAGTACAATTTTTCACTGACAAGAGGTTTCAGAGACAATTTAGTCCAAAGCTGTTCGATTGATTATCCTTTTAAAAGTGGAACTGCATGGTGCTTATATTCACCGAGTTCATCAGTCAGCCAAATTTTAAAACTTTTGATTGAATCAAAAGGTAAAAAAAAAAAAAGCCAAATGAATTATAAGCAAATGAACGAAAGAAGAGGGCACGAAGGAGCAAATCAGCCAACCCCCTGATTGATCCATCAAACAATGGTGTTCCTAAGTTCTGCCTTCCCGATAATTTAAGTCTTTTCACTACCATTGGTCATTTCATTCCATAATGATATTTTTCCATATTAGATTGATCCATATTCTTAGTCATCAAATTTTTCTGCTTTTATAAGGTCAGATGGTTCCATAATTTAGTAGGACTGCTCCTCTTAAAAATACTAAAGAATGCTTTCTCAATTCATGAAAATGTCAGAAAAAAACCTGCACATTTGCTTGATTGAACAAAATAATGAACTCAACTGCCATTAAAAGGACAGCTCTCCTGATTAATTCTTTCTCTCCTTTACGACAGTGTTGTAAAGGTAACCAAGTAAATGAACGTGCATTTGTGCTTTTAATGACCTGCCTTTGTACTGTTTTAACATCACATAAGTTTATTTGATTTTTTTTTTCATTTTTTTCTGTGGTCGTGATCACTTTACTAGGTGATCACTTCATTCCTCGTCAATTAATTACGATTACGAAATACACGTGACTGTTCGTGACAGTTCTTGACAATCTGAAGCCAGATCAGAATGCAAGAGAAGTAACATCTAAGGCTAATAATCCATTCAAAGCTATTTCACTCCTAGGGAGTTGCTTTCAAAAGGCTGACATAAAACATCTAAGCCACCCTCAAAAAATTACCAGATACAGTTTTTTTCTTCTCTCTGTGAAACTGCGTTCACTAAAACTACCCTTCTATGAAACAGGTGTCAAGAAAAATTCTTACCCCAAATTGTTATTTTTAACATTTCTTTTAAGATAATAAAGTGATTATTAATGTTTCACTTGCGCAATAGAGAACAAGGCCTTCCCAAGCCCTGCCATTCTCAATTTTCCCCACCTTACCAACCTAACAGAAAAAAAAGAACTGGCTCTCCGACAATATTTCGACCCATTCCCCCTTCCCACAATGTAAATTAGTTTCCCTGTCTGCTAATTATACAACCACTTCTGATTCCTATCAACTTAACTTAAAGTTCGAAGCTAATTGTCAAATCATTTGTCAAAATATGCTTCAAAAGTAAATTCAACTTGGTTACCTTTCGAGTTTACGTGATCACGTTTAGAAATCCTAGGCTAAGTCTCTTTTTAGGCCAGAAGTCCACTCTTTCTTAAGAATTATTCTACCGAAAATAGTTTCCCCTGTCAACGTTGAAAAATCTGACAGAGGACATCTCCTTGAAAAAACGAAAACGAAAAACGAAAAATTTAACATCCTCATTTCCAGGTCCTCTCTTACTTTCTGCTTCCGCCATTCGAGCAAGGATTTCTTTTATTTTCCGCCAACTCTACCTGCTTTACCATCATCGTAACCGCTGACACGCCGAACTGCAGCCGTTTTGTGGAGTCAGTCGTTTCATATGTTTTCAAGAGCCGCCACCTGTGCCTAGAATTTACTCTCTTTGTTTGGAAACTCTTTCACTGAAAGAATTAACCTGTCATACACTGAGTCACTGCTGTAAGTATAAGACTGTTGAAGGATAGACAGTGAGAGAGGCTTTTCTTCGCAAGGACAGCCTCGTGTACTGCTCTTCGCGACAGTGCGCGACAAATACTGCAACAAGATACTTGACGATTGTGGTATGAAGATCTTTTTTTACAAGATCCATGTTCTTCAATAGACATTACTTTGACAAACATGATTCCTTTTTTGAGCACACATTTTAAATGTTTTCTGTTGGCCAAAATTCAACTGAACTTGGCTAGTAATCCAGGGATGTTGAAAGAAATTTCCGGGTAATGTTATTGTTTACTTCATGTGTATGTGACGCTCCAGAAACCGGTTGGAGCCGTCTAAAATGAATGCGAACTCGAGAGCCTGTTTCAGACAAGACCATTTTAAATTTCCCTTTAAAATTACATTAAGGGCTCGCACAATTTAATGATACCAAGGAAGTAAACCAAACAACTGCCGAAATACAAACGTTTTAGAAGTTACTAATTTAAATCTTTCTAAGAATCGCTTGAATGACTACTGAGAAAATGGAAGTTGGAAAAATGTCACCATTTATGTAAACTGCAGTGTGGTCCAATTATTACTTTGGTGCGTATTTTGAAGCATTAAAGATCAAATGAAATAGATTGAAAAGATGTTTGATTTATATCAGTTTTATGGAAATAAAACGGTTGTTGCTACCGGTATGAATTCTGTATAAATTAGTTGACCTCATGTCTTTTAGTGGCAGCTGAGGCATATCGGCTTCGGGTTAATGTTTTAACATTTTTGATTTCCGTAACATGTGTACGTTTTCAAAAAGATGGTTTCCATGGTCAATTTTTTTGTTTTTCCAGATCACTTGTTAATGGGTAAAAGGGCCAAGATTCTTAAAAAACTGTGGCGCTGTTTCGGTGTAGAGTAGCACAAGGGTACGGCACAAGACGATTTAATTCGGTTTATCAACTGAGTTAATAATGTAATTGGCCACCACTACGTGAGCGTCAGTTCTTCGTCAGTGCAAATAGACCCAACAAATTCTAAATGAAGACGCATTTTCTTAGTCTAGAAAGTCTAAAGGTATATTTTATTAGGAGGTGCGATTTGTAAGTTGTTAGATATTAAGTCAGCCTACAAAACAAACAACGGCCATGGTTCATGTTTGTGTGACAAATATTCTCAGTCAAATTTCAGGTTTAAAAATTAACTAAAACAGAAGTATGAAATTGAATAATTGTCGTTTCTACTTTTTCTACAAACTCTGGAACAGACGCCCCATGAATGGCAAGGAAAGGAGCAAGCAATAAATCTATGGACACCAGCGCAGCCCAGCTGAGTGATTTACTCTGCTGCTCGGCTGACCTCGAGCATTACCTTCGTGAATTCATTTTGTCTGGCGGCCGTGAGATAACCTTCCTATTGAGTGGCAAGACAGGAGTTGGAAAATCTCACTTGACAAATGCGCTGATAGGACAGGAGCTTGCTGAAGAAGGAGAGGAACTCGATCCACAAACCGATGACGTGAGTCATTTTCCAAACGGTTATCAGCATAACCTACTATATAGTCAAACTTGCCACTTAATGATATTTTTAGATTTGTTCTATCCAATTTTTTTTTTCCTTTATAATAGCATCAGTTTCCTCTCACAAATGTGGCCTTGTCGTCTTTGCGTATTGTCGATGCATTTTCTTCCCTTAAAAAAAAAACCAACACTGCAGCATGCAATGAAACAGAGGTGTTGGTCGGTGCTAAATTGAACTTAGCAATACTTTCTGAATTAAACGTGTGTTTTGTTGTAAGATAATTTTGATTTTTATTTCCAGGTGACACCGTACGATTTTTGTAAGAACAATGTGAAGATAACTGTCTTCGATACTCCCGGATTGGCGGATGATACCGGTAACGACGAAAAGTACCTTGAGCAAATCAAGAAAAAAATTACAGCTGTCGATCTTTTCCTGTTCTGCTTCGATATGACCTCCACCAGATTTCGTGACGACGACGCTAGGACAATTAAAAAGGTCACAACGACGTTTGGTAGAAGTTTGTGGGATCATGCTCTGGTGGTATTGACCTTTGCGAACAGAGTTCAACCTTCAAAGGACAAAGTCACCGAGAAAGATTTCTTTCAACAACGAATGCTTCGTTTTCGCGACAAGATTTGCGAAGTGCTTGACAAAGAAGGAGTTGACGAGAAAGCCCTAAATGATTTACCGTTCGTACCAGCTGGAGAATGGATGAAGCCAGCACTCCCAGACAGAGATAACTGGCTGACAGTGTTTTGGATTGAGGCATTCAAACGTATCAACAGAAATGCAAAAGCTGCTTTCCTTCTTGCAAACATCGATCGCTTTATTATCTCTTTTGGTGGACATTTATCGGATGAACCCCGTGGTGAAGGTGAACGATACGATGAATGCTCTGATGAGGAAACGTTTGTCGTTCTAGGGAGCTTGGAAAAGAGCTCGCCAGTGATATCAACGTCCGAAGGAAAATATCATCGAAAAATACTTGAAAGAATAAAAACAAAACAAATGAAATCTGCGACCATAAGCAACAGCGATACTTTGGTGGACGACAAATATGGAAGCACGTCGATTCTTCGAAGAGGATCGGCGTCAGTTTCGGCTGAAGTTGGAGAACAATTTCGGGCCCAGATGCGAAAAATGAACGTCCAGGGCCCTGGAGATGAAAAAAGAGCTTACCATTGCGAGACGGTGTATTCTCTTCCTCCTTCTTATGATGAGGCTGTGCGCATGGGTAATCCAGTGCCTCTCCCAATGGATGAGTCCTCTTCACAAGAACTGTTTAAAGAAGTGATACAAGAGGCGTTACACAACTGTGAACCTGGCGTGAACGCTGGAGTGAGAGTTAGCCGATCCATTTTTGGAAACATTTATGCGAAATTGTTTAGGAAGACAATAGAGTTTATAAAGAATCTTCTCCGTAGAAAAGAAAACCGATAAACTCAAATGTAGAAGGACGAGCGCGTAACAACCTTAGAGGTTACCATTGAAACATTATAAAAGGGTTACTGCGAATAGGTTTAGCCTGCGTTGCTGGCGGTCTGTGGTTTTAGGGGCAGAGAGAAAATCGTTGACCGCCAGCAACGCAGGCTAGAATTAGTTAGGTGATCGTGTTTCATTAATGCTGTTACTGTTTTTGTAATGACAATGGCACTCGAAACTTTTCGACTGCTTACTCTGCAATTATTGATACCTTAGCAAATTTAAAGCAAGGAAGGCATTTTAACACTAATTTCGACCAAACATCATAGCAGGAAATTGTCATTAACCTCTGATCGGCTGATTTATATTATAACTATTAAATCAAATATAAATCTGCTTGCTGTTGATTTGGTAGGTAATATAAACTACTATAATAAAATTCGTTGTTTTATGGTACACAAGATCTTATTTTCCCCGGTGCCAAATGATGATAAAATAAATTTCTTAGCCATGGTACGATTGCTTCTTTTACAAACAACCTTATTTGAAATTGAATCGCTAAATAAGTGGATTTCTTTCACAAACGCCTAATGCATGAGGAAATCAATTGTTTAAAAAGATCATCGCCTGCATTTCGTATTTATCTCCATGTTCACTGCTTCAAATTGAAAACGATGTAACGCCAAATTGTCCTTGCGGCCAGGCTACTTTTTCCTGCGCACCGTGGTATAAGTTGTCTAAGTTAACCCTTCCCTTTCTGTCTTGGTCACTCATGGGAGTGACTAAGACAGAATTTCTCCTTACAATGTCAATACAATATCAACCAGATAAGTGATGAGAATAAAGAAAAACATCAATTTGGGGATAGTAAGTTGATCCAATGCTAAATTCTCTGAAATAACATTATAAGAATTGTATGGTTGACTGTAAGGAGAATAACAAATTTGATCTGAGAGTTAGAGAGTTAATGAATCATCGGCTTAGTCTTGCAGAGTTCCAAGAAAGGTAAAACCTAGCTTGGACCCTATTGGAGCCACTTTTGAGCGGACAAAGAGACAGAAGTGGGCACGCAAAGACTGGGCCGTGTCCTCTCCCTCTATGAGAAACAGGGAGACCCTGGGCACGACTTATGAGTCGTTTTCTTACTTATTGCCTCAGACTCCATTTTACGAAAGAGAACCAGAAGTTGATCTGTCTGTAACCGTCGCTGACTACGCTTGCTTTGCAGAAGTGTCCAAAGTTATTTTAAACTACTTTCAGCGTTCAAACAATGACGTAAAGAAAAATGTAGATAAATTCCGAAAACCATGGCAAATATACAAGTATGGCCTTAGTCACGAAAATTTCCAATATCCTTTGTCCAGAGGTGCGCCGAGTCGAAACGTCAATCACAGGAGAAAAAGACAATAGGAGCACTAGAAAGGCAAAGGAAAGTCTTAAGAGAGGGAGTCAGGTCGTTAATCGTTGAAAACGATTATGCTTACGTTGCGGAAGTACGCCTAGAGGTGTTTTTACTTACATAAGTTCAAACAATGACGTATAAAAAACCACTTACGACAATTTTTTTGATTTCCATTGACTGGAGCAATACAAACATTAATTGCAAGCAAGGTAAGTTGCCAAGGGGACTTTCCCAATCTGAAGGCCCTTTAAAGTAGTCTTTATTGAAAGAGACAGGAGCGGACACGTAGAGACCAGGCTGTTGTCTTTTCCTTCTGAGGCAAGGGAAGTGAAGAG